AAACAGAAGGCCACCTGCCTGACTGAACTGCAGTTCCAAACTCCAACTTTTCTGCAAAGAGGAGTTTTGACTGGATAGTAAAACTGCCCACGGGAGTGCAATTGAAAACTGCAGTGCAGTTTGAAATGCATTTAGATACTCAAACCATGACCACGCCCTAGTTTTCTTATAAAAAAAAACAAAAACAAAGAAATCTAATGGCAATCCTTCTTGTTTTGAAGAAACTCAAAAACAAAAACAAAGAAATCTAATGGCAATCCTTCTTGTTTTGAAGAAACTCAAGCTCAGGAAATTCCTCGAGTTTGTAGGATCATAGTGGAAAGAATTCAACGGGACCCTTCGTACCACAGTGCAGCACTGGGGATTCTCTCTTCTGGGGCCGTGTCTAATGATTGTCAGCCGTTGAGATCATGATCATGGGCCGCTGGATCTTTGAGGCTGACAATAAGCCTCGCTGCACTACTCTAGACTCTCGAATTTTCAAGAGTGTGACGTCACTGCACTTGCTCTCGATCGGAAACTCTCGAAACCCGATCTAGAGCTGTCAGCGGGCACTCTATCTCGCCACTCTCGAAAACGTCAAGAGTAGGGGCCTCTCTGCACTACTCTAGACTCTTGAATTTTCAAGAGTGGGACGTCGCTGCACTTGCTCTCAATCGGAAACTCTCAAAACTGGATCGAGAGCTGTCAGCGAGCACTCTATGGGTCTCACTCCACTACTCTATACTCTCGAAATTTCGAGAGTAAGCCCTCGCTCCACTCACTCTAGATAGGTGCTCTCGAAAACGCCCTTCGAGAGCTGTCAGAAAGCACTCTCGAACGGCACTCTCGAAGTGTCTAGAGTGCCCAGCCTGCGACGACATGCTTTTCCAGTGTCCTCCCTTGTAACCCCGCTCCGACCATTTTTTTTCGTGAGTGCGCCTCGTGTCCCGACCATCAGAACAGGGCGGCGCTGTCTCTTAGTGCAGTCAGAGAGCTCTTCTCATTCCGCCACTGCATCTCGAGCAAAGCCTTCTAGAGTAAGGGCCTCGCCACACCACTCTTGAAATGGGGAAATTTTTCAAGAGCTGTCAGACGTTCTCAAGAGTTGGGTCTTCAAGAGTTTTCGGCCCCTCCCCACACAGCACTCTCGAAAGGGCAATGGTGTTAGACAAAGGATGGTCAGGATAACGGCCATCATACAGCTTTGTTTTTTTCGAATGGAGTCAGGATAACGGCCTGACAACTCTTGAAAATAGAAAGTCCCTCAAGGGTTCGGGCAAGGACGCTCAAGGACGCTTGGAAACGCACGAGTTGCAGGCTGGGGTTTCCCATCTTTCAAGAGCTGCTCTTGAAACGGTTTCAAGAGCCACTCTGACAGCTCTTGACTGCCCCAAGTGTCAAGAGGCTGTGTGGTGATGCAGCAACTCTTGAAAAAGAGTTTTCAAGAGTGGTGTGGCGAGGCCCTAAGTGGAGCCAAGACTTTTTTTTCGAGAGTTTTGCACGTCTGACAGCTCTAGAGACTAGAAGGACTCACGAAACTTTTCGTGAGTCGAGAGTAGTGGAGCGAGACCCTATATCGCCACTCTCGAAACGTCGAGAGTAGCCCGCCTGCAAGTGTCCTCGGGAGTTAACCGGCTCGTTTTCGAGAGTGGACCTGTCCTCGGGAGTTAACCGGCTCGTTTTCGAGAGTGGACCTCCTGTCCCGGAGGCCAGACTTTGTCCCCTAGCGCAGTGGTGCAGCTCTTCTGTCGAGTGGGACGAGGCGCAGGGTTTGGAGAGTTCATCTAGGGTCTCGCTCCACTACTGTCCACTACAAAAACGGACAGCGGTACTTCACTCCACTACTGTCCACTATACATGTGCAAAATGGCTTGGACAGTTTTTAGAAACCCCGTCGAAAATCTACTGTCTGTGAATGTACAGCTCATGCCTGCAAAATTCGTTGCGCGGAAAGTCCTTCAAGGGACTCACCGTGAGGACCCGAATTTGGAGAGTGCACCTGGAGTTTGGGCGGACAAAACCCTATGGACGTCCTGTCTTGTAGTGCTATCACTGTGTCTGGTAGTGAAGCCACAAATTTGAGAGGTGGACAGCGGACAGTGGGTCTCGCTCCACTACTCTAGACTCTCGAAGTTTTGAGAGTAACGCCTCGCTCCACTTACTCTAGAGTTTAACTCGTGAAAACACCCTTCGAGAGCTGTCAGAAGGCGCTCTCGAAGGGCACTCTAGAGTAGTATAGAGTTCACAGCCTGCGACGCTCACGATTTCCAGCGTCCTCCCTCCTGCCGCCGCTCCGGCCTCTTTTTTCGTGAGTGTGCCTCTTGCCGCGACCGTCAGAGCGAGCTGGTGCTGTCGTGTAGCGCTGTAGAAGCGCTCACGAAAATCGTGAGTACTCACGCTCGGCTCCGGAATGTATCCACCGCTAGAACGTGGCCATATGCAGTCATTTTTTTATTTTTATTTTGCCTTTCGAGAGTGATCCGTGTCGCTCCACTTACTCTAGAAACGGTGTCAGAATTTCGTGAGTGCTTCTAGAGTTCTTCAGTCTAGAGTAAGTGGAGCCACGCTTCACGAGTTCTAGACCTCTTACAGCTCTAGAAGAGCTCTAGAAGTACTCACAAATTTTTCGTGAGTCGAGAGTAGTGGAGCGAGACCCAGTAAGGGCCTCGCTGCACCACTCTGGACATGCAAAAAAGACAAAAATCATGGGGGTGTATCTTTCCATAATCTAGTGGAAGATTCACTCTCGGTTGCACATTTCGAGAGTAGTGCAGCGAGGCCCTAAGTGGAGCGATGTCGCATTTTCCACTGTCCGCTGTACAATTTTTCTCTCTGACAACTGTCCACCAACTGTCTGAAAAATTGTACAGTGGACAGTAGTGGAGCGAGACCCCTACATGTAGTGTAACAGTTTATAGAGTAAGTGCAGCAAAGGCCCGTATTTCGAGAGTCTCGCCTCTCTGACAATGCTAGACGAAGTCTCGGAATAATTCGAGTGTCTAGAGTGGTGCAGCGAGGCCCTAACTCGCTTGTCGTAGGGCCTCGCCGGACGGTACACGAAATGAGAAAAAAAAAGTAATTCGTTTCGTGAACGTTTCGCCGCACAGTCAAGAAATGAAAACTGTCAGGAGGAAGTCGGGAAGTGTGTCAGATTTGCAATTCGCGAGCCTCCGCACGTGCCCCTTCCATGCCCGCGAAAAGTCGTAGGTCCTTCGAAGGTGTGGAGCTGCGAATCCATGCGAGTGCAGCAAGTCGGTCCAAGGGATGGAGCACGAAAGTCAGGCACCTCAACACTCGTCAGGCCGTTTCCGCGAGTGATTTCGCGTGTGCCGTGCTGCGGTGGTGTAAAAAACGAAACGAAACCTTGATTTTCAGCCTCGCGAGGCCTCGCGAGTTTCAAGGTCGTTTCCTTTCATTTTTTGCACCGTCCCGTGAGGCCCTTACTTGAGTCCCGTCTCCGGTTTTTGATGAAAACAAGGGCACCCGGCACATGTGCAACGCCACGAGCAGCAGGCTTACCTCACACCTGAGCTGATCGACGGCCAACCCTATTGTAGATCCATCATGATCGACGTATGGAAACCAATTCACTAAACTCTCTCTCTCTCTCTCTCTCTCTCTCTCTCTCTCACACACACACACACACACACACAACACACACATGCATATATGAAACAGAGAGACCTGTCGCTCCAGTGCCGGTGCCTTGGCAGACGTATTGCAGGGAGGGAGAGCGAAGTTCCTTTGTTGGCTGTAAGACTTGGCGCGCGTGGACATTGCGTCCGCCATATGCAGGAGAGAGCGCTCTAAGGGTGGGGGTAAGGAACTCAGTCTCGCTGGCCACTTCTCTCTCGCACACTCCCCTACTCTCTTCTCTTCTTCTTTCTCCTGCTTCGCTGCCTTGTGGGTACTGACGTCTCTCTACTTGTAGCGACGGACTGTCAGCCTGGCCTGTGAGCAGCTATGGATGCCATGGCCCGCCACTCCTTCTCCCCTTCCTCTCTCCTTCCTCGGTGGTCTTCTGTCCTTCCTCTTTGTCCTTAACGTCCTCCTCTCTCTCCTCGTTCTACGTCTTATTCGTTATCAGTTCCTTCTTTCTTCTCGTAAAGTGAAAAAACGTAGATCACACATCCGATTCCCTCCCCCCGTCCTTGCCCTCCCCCACCCCCTCCTCCCCCTCTTTTGCTTCCTGTCTGTGAAGCATATCACTGATGGCAACGTCGTTCTACAATGGCCACTGCCAGAGAGCACCATTTCCCATCGTTTGATATTGCAGCTCAGGTCTTTCACAAGTGAACCTGCTGCAGCCACGCTGCGGCGAAGGACGATGACAAAAGCATTTTGCGAAAAACCCCAGCCATCAGTTGGACCCCATCTTTGCAATGTACCCCTGCCGGACGCTGCCCACCTTTGCAAAATGCCCCGGCAGTTGCCAAGTTTTCATACGTGCAATTGCAAAAGGCCAAGCGAATTTGCATACCCATCTGACAGGGGCATAACACAAACATGTCAGCCCAAAAGCCCATTCCACTGTGCCCATATCTTTTAGGGAAATTTGGACATATATCTCAATTTATGTGGGTATTTGGAAAATTACTCCCCCCCCCCTTACCCAAAAACAGGGGACTCTCTCTCTCTCTCTCGTTCTCTCTCTCTCTCTCTCTCTGAGGTGCACACACACACGCACACACACACACACTCCCGTGTGGTAGCGTATATTTCGATGTTCTAGCAGAATATTTATTCGATTTTGCTCATCCTATCGATGGAAGTAGTGTGACGGCAATGGCGGGGTTAGCCACTTACCTGTTGGCCGGTGCGTTGCTCATCCTATCCATAGAAATCTCTCTCTCTCTCTCTCTCTCTCTCTCTCTCTCTCTCTCTCTCTCTCTCTCTCTCTCTCTCTCGTGTCCTCCCTTTCACGATTCATGGCCGCCATGCTGCTTCCTCCTCCTCCGGCCTCTATCTTCTATCCTCCTCCATCACGCAGCAGATCTCGTTCTATGACCTCGTCCCTCTGCACACACGTCCACGTCTTGATCATACACCACGCCGCAGTGTGTGTGTGTGTGTGTGTGTGTGTGTGTGTGTGTGTGTGTGTGAGAGAGAGAGAGAGAAAGAGGCTGGCCTCACGCTTCTTCCAGGGATAGGATGAGCAAAATAGGATGACTTTTCCGCTAGAGCATGGAAATGTACATCGCCCTTTCCCTGCGTCGGCAACCGTCGCCACGTCCCAGCCTGAATCGATTTTTTTTTTTTTTTTTTTTTTTTCGGACTTCGCTTTGTATGACCTGAGTCGATTTTCGCTGGGCCCGCGTCGGCCCGTCGCGGTGGCACCGTTGTTGTTTTAAAGAGTTTTCTAACTAATTAATAAAAAAGGGTTTTAGCGTACAGGGATATATAAACCATTTTTCTCTCTCCTTTGTGTTCTTTGCTGTACTACGATGATTGTCTTGCGGATTCGCTTATTTAGGATTAAACATTGTACTTCCCTATCGGTGCGCGCGTCGTGTCAAATGCATGTGAGTGCATGATTGACGTTCTTTTTTTTTTTTTTTTTTTTTTTTTTTTTGAGAGAGTGATGTTTTTCTGCTGAAGTGTGTATCTCAATATCAACACATTCCCGGCTCTGACGTTATGTTTCATCAAGACTGCCCCTCCAGTTTTCTCCCGAATAGAAAGTACTACGGCCCTTATCGACGAACCGAGACGGAAAGTTGCCCCAAATACAGCTACTATATATACTGACTGTACGTTGTATTCGGGAGAAGAGACCGTAGGCTATCAGCATGCATGATCAAACATGCAGCCGCTGTCGCTTGAGCCGACTTTCCTCGCTGACGGAACGTAACGGAACGGCCCTTAACGGAACGGAAGTCGGGCTACGTACATACTCGCTTGACCTAGCTACCTTCTTCCCCCGAATACAACGTACGGTCATTATGGCTGAATTTGAGGCATCTTTCAGTCTAGATACAGCTGTAATGACCGTGCGTTGTATTCGGGGGAAGGAGGTAAGCTGATTCTTTTTTTTTTCTCTTTTCGGGATGGTAAGGTGATTCAGAATTGCCCTATGTTATTTTTTTCTTTTTTTGTTTTTCAAATTTGGACCATTTCTCGATTCATGCGTGTCATCCTTACTTGCGCAGCGGCTATTTGCTAATTACCCGTCTCTGTATCGTTCCAATTTTAACGGATGTCCCGAAGGACCCAAAGGTATTTTAATCAGCTGCTTGCAGCGGAGTTTGGACTCAAGTCCGCATTTTACTGTAAGACTTGTCTGATGTATGATCTATGGAATCAGATGTCAACGGGATCGCCAAATGTCAACGGGATTAAAAATTGTAAGTTAATTAGTGATTCTCTCAGCCGCGGAATGATTGGAATTTTTTTTTTTTAATTGTAATTATTATTTTTTGTGGATGTTATGCATCTTGCTCTACAAGTGAATGGTACATTTTGAACGACTCGGGGCCAAGTCCCCCTTGGCCGTATTCGTCATTTCTGGCCGTTGATCTTTATAATCTACGGTAAAGAACTGAGAATTCGGGTAAGTCGGACTCGATCCTCGGTCCTCGGTCAAATAATAGAGAGAGATCGATCACAGAAATCGATCATTGAAACCGATGAACTCGGGCAAGTGGGACATCGGCCTCGCGGACGGGGAAGAGGTGAAAGCAGTGCAAGGGGGAAAACGGAGTAGTAATAGGAGGAGGAGGAGGAGGGGGGGGATGAGGAGGGGGAGGAGGAGGTGCGACATATGCTGACCTGCTATGTACCGCTTGTGCAGGGCAAGGACAAGGGAGTGCAAGAAGCACAGAGAGGACGAACAGGGCGAGGAGAAGGAGGGGAGGAGGAGGAACAAGATGACCCCCATAAAGGCGCTCCTGTTGGTGATCATTGCTAGCAGCTTCTGTGTAGCGACACGTGGCACCCCTTTAGCCAATGGCGTGAAGTATGGGAACAAGTTCTTCTGCTTTACCGGTTTCACTCAATGTCCCAGTGGGATCGAGCAATGCATTAAGACTGAAAGAGAATGCGATGGCGTGGAGGATTGCCCCGACGGTTCAGATGAAGGGACATGGTGCGCGTACTTTGATTGCCCCTCTGCCGGTAGATACTACTGTCCAAGCGGAGCCAATTTCTGCATGAACATCACGGACGCCAACGGCTCGCAGCGCCATCCTTACCGAGACGCGTACAAGTACTACCTGTGCGACGGGGTGAGGGACTGCGCGGACGGCTCGGATGAGGACCCCGGTTTTTGTGCGACGTACGACTGTGTGGCGAACGTGTCGCACGTCGCATTCACGACCGAGTTTTACGGCTCGGTCCCGACGAGGGTGCGGTGTCCGGGTCCCGACACCAAGAAGAACGGTGGCTGCGCGTTGAAGCTGTGCGACGGTGTCGCAGAGTGCGCGGGGGGGAGCGACGAGAGCGATAAGCTGTGTCAGCAGCGCGGCTGTGCGCGATCCTCGGGAGTCAATACTCTTTTCCAGTGCCGCAGCGGCCGATGCATAGACTGGAATCTCATCTGCGACGGCAATCCCGATTGTCCCCACGGCGACGACGAGGGAAGCTGGTGTGCGACGGCTGAGTGTCCCAATCCCTATGAGAGGGTCAAGTGCACAGGTGGCGACAACCAGACTTGCATTCGCAAGGCCAGCCTGTGCGACGGTGTGCGCGACTGCCCAGCCTGGACGGACGAGGTCGGGTGCGACTTCTTTGAGTGCTTCTACGGCCACTGCCCAAGCGGGGTCTGCTCTTTGCAGGCGATGAGCTTGTGCAACGGCATTCGGGAGTGTCAAGATGGCTCGGATGAGGATCCCGACTTCTGCAGGACGTATAACTGCTCCGCCGGCATGCGCAAGTGCAAGGATGGGCGACAGTGCATCTGGGACTGGTCGTTGTGCGACGGTCAGCAGGATTGCCTGGACGGATCCGACGAAGATCCCGACTCCTGCGCGTCGCAGGAGGCATGTCCGCGCACCAAGATTCAATGCCCTGGACAAGCGACAACGTGCATCTACCCCAGCAGTATCTGCGATGGCATAGAGGATTGTCTTGATGGCAGCGATGAGAATGCAACCTTCTGCGCGTCCAAAGAGGCGGAAAGGATGATGGAGGCCGGTTTCCGCATTCGTTGCAAAAATGGCACTGGGACGGAGATCATCTCAGGCTCCTACTGCGACGGCAAAGAAGATTGTGCAGATGGGGGCGATGAAAACGAGAGCTTCTGCAAGAGTTACACGTGTCGCCCGGAAATGGTCAAATGTTATGGCACCTGGTGTCTACCCGGAGGTAGATGCGATGGGGTAAGAGATTGTCCCGACGGCTCCGACGAGGCCGGCTGCGGAAGAGTGTCAGCGCCCTTACCCCCCAGCGCTCCCCCCGCGATCCCCTTGGTCGGCCGCGCTCCTTCCTCGAGCCCCTGAACAAGGCGGGGCGGGCGGGATACAGCGTAGCGGACAGGCCGGGATCATCGATGCGTCAGCGTGAGAGAGAGACTGCTCGTCTTTTCCTTCCGCTCCCTATCTGTTGTCGCCGTCACTTCCCATCACACGCAATGGAAAGCTGGAGGGAAACAGGGAGGACGTGATGAAGATGAAGTGGAAGGATTGTGGACGCCGCGTCCCGGCTACAAGATTGAGAGAATAGTAATATTTCCGAATAATAAATTTGATGATTTCTAGAAAGAGAAAAAAAAATAAAACGAAAAGATGGAGTAACAGACCCGAAGGGCATGGCACACTTGGTTGTCTCTCTCGTTGCAACAACTGGGAACTTGAGTGAGGGACTGACTTGTGCATGCAT